CCCTGGGCTCCGGAACAAGGTGGATGACCTAGTGGCAGTCCCTGAGCCCCGGGCACGCATGCAGGTCTACTCATCTCTGAGCAGGCTCCCGGTGAGCATGTTTCATCCCATCCACAGAAGGAGATCCCGAACGTGGGGAGCTCAGCCTCCCCGGGATCACATGACTGGTGCGGGCAGAGCTGGGATGCCCTCCAGCCCCCTGGGGAGCCAAAGCCACCTCCCACCCCTGCCCAGTATGGCCCTCTGTCTCCTAGGCCAGCCAGCTTTTCCGGAGCATCCCAGTGTTATCTATCGCAATGTGGGTGGGATTAGCAGACCGGCTATCGGAAGCATGGTGTTCTTAGCTCTGAGCTACTAACTGACAGGTTCGGTGTTCGAACCCTCCCAGAAGCAGCTGCAGAAAGACCCGGCCACTTGTTTCTGAAAGGTCACCACCGTGAAAACCCCACAGGGTGCAGTTCTACACCGCAACACATGGGGTTGTGCTGCGCTGCAATCTACCGTTTTTGTTTTGTTTCACCTTTTAGTTAAAAGCATAGGCACATAACATACCAAACAAACTGAGATGATATCCGGATGCAGGGACCACCTCTTAAAGGACTTCTGCGTCCATCTTCGCTCTTGATCACGTCCTCGGTTTGGGTGGGCCACATCCTCAAGTCGTTGTCTGAGAACGAAAGGGGGGAGGGTTAATATCAGGCCCACTGTGTGTCTGAAGGGGTGCTTACTCTGCCCCTGGACGAACTTGGTTGGATACACACTTCTATTTGGAAATGTTTCCCTTTAGAAGTAGGAAGCCATTGTTCTATGGCCTTTGGTCTTTGGGGTTGTTGGTGAGGAAGCTCAGCGCCATACTGATTCTTCTGTGCCATGATTTCTGATTGCCACCCATTTCTCTCTGAAAAGTTACAAGATCTTATCTTTGTCCCATGGGTTCTGAAACCTCACTAGGTTGTGCCTTATCAGGGGTCGAGTTTCATACATTGTGCTGGGCACTCAGGGTCCTTGCAATCTGTGAATCTCAATCTTGTGGTGCTGCAAAACTTCCTTTGTTAAACAATGACACCCACATGGGCCTGAAACTCAATGGGACTGCCTTATTTTTCCAGGTTTCGGGCGTTTCTACCGTTGACTGTGTCATGGATTGAATTGTGTGCCGCTAAAATATGTCAAATTCGCCATGACTCTCAGTGGTTTGGCTACATAATGTCATTTGTCAGTTTGGTAATTACACCATCATTCCCCTCTGATGTGATCAGATCAGTTGTAAGGAGATCAGAGTGGGACATAACACCGTTAGTCACATCACAGGCTTCATGCGATGGGAGCGGAGTTTCCCTGGGGTGTGGCCTGAATCATCTTTTATCTTATAAGAGATCAAAGGAGAGAGAATCCAGCAGACAAAGAAGAATCTGACAGAATGTGTCCTGGACCCAGGGTCCCTCTGCTGAGAACCCCTAGACCCCTGGAAAGATAGATGGCAAGACACTTGCAAATCTCCAAGGAGCACTGGGCCCACAGGTGTTGAAAGGACCTTTCCCCAGAGCCACACAAAGAGGAAGCCTTCCCTGACAGCTGGTGCCCCGAATTTAAACTTCTAGCCTCCTAAAGCGTGAGAAAACGAATTTTTGTTGGTTAAAGCCGCCCCCGTGTGGTATTTCTGTTATTGCAGTACTAGATAATGAAGACAGAATTTGATACTGAGAGTGGAGTCCTCATCCAACAGATACTAGAAGTAGTTTGGGAATTGGGAGGTGGGCAAGAAGCCAGAGCATTTTAAGGTGCTAATAGTAAAATCCTAGATTGTCTTGAAGAGACTGTTGGTGGCTCGTGACAATTCTGGTGAGGATAAAGAAGAGAGTGAGTAGAGCCGTAACACTGGAGAGGACACAGCTGGCAATAAACAGTGGCAGGGGAACAGGAGTAGCAGAACCAGGAGACCAGGTGATGGCGTCGAAGCTGACCATGGAACGAGCGAGCAGAGCACCTTCAGGCCCAGGCATCCTGATGAAGTGACCCTCCTCCAGGCCGACGATGGGAACCCTCGGGAGCTGTGGCTGTGGCACAAGCGAGGCAGAGGTTGGGCCAGCCTACGGGGTCCCAGAGACCAAGTATCCGAAGCTAATGAGACCAGGAGCATGGGAAACAGAGTTGTCTTAAGTCTCCAAGGTTTTAAGGTCACATCTTCACCAACTCCGTTCCACCGAGTGCCTGGGGATGGAGCTGCCACCCAGGGCTGAGGCAGTGAGATGTGTTACCCAAAGAGAAGAGGCCTGCCGAGACTGAAGAGATGGGGTGACCATCCGTTGGACTAGGAGAACGAGGCCGCCCAAAGCCATGGAAGCAGTGTTTCTGTTCCATGGGGTCTGGAAGGTGGAGCTGGGATGAGGATCAAGGGGCCTTCGCCCCAAATCCAGAGAGCACAGCCAACGCCCAGAGTCTGGCGGGCGGGCCCGAGCCTAGGCCGTCTCAAAGCACAGAGGATTCTTTTCAAGCCTTCAGAGCTAATGTAACTTGTGTTGCTAAGTTTTTCACTTGCTCGGTGTCTCTCATCCCTTCTTTCCCTGTAATTCAGCTCATTTATAACGGCGATGTCTACCGTATGCCTGTTCCACATTGTCTTTTGGACAATGGCACCTTGTGGTCCGGATTTCAGATGTTCACAAGTGAAGAGGAATCTACCCTGGAATGGAATTTAGACTTGATGTTGATTTAAGACTTTTGAGATGATATGATAGGGTGGAAATGGTTCCCATGTGTCAAGGATATGAATTTGGGGTATGGGGCAAATGATGGAATCTCATGAATTGAATTGTATCCTGCCCAAAGCAGGTGTTGTGGAGGCACCATGATTCTCAATGGTTTGGCAGTTATGGGATAAGTGATCATCCCCATAATGTGGTCAGCCAATCAGGGAAAGGGGATCATGGTAGCAGGACAACCCTCACTCAGTGCAGAGCTCTGATATGATTATCTGATTTAGGGAATCTCCCGGTGGTGTGGCCTGACTTCCCTCTAGCTTACAAAAGATAAAAGGTCCCTTGGACCCAAGGTCCCTGTGTTGA